TGGTAATTAATACGTAAAAAGAATGTTGCATAAATCCATATACTAAGTATATATATATATATATATATATATATAATCTGTTAGATTAAGGATAATATATATATATATATATATATATATAATGGTTAAAATATGGTTAGTGTCTTATCATTCTAAATAAATATTGACCACTTTAGCATCCGTCCGCAAAACTACTTTTTTGGTAATTAATACGTAAAAAGAATGTTGCATAAATCCATATACTATATATATATATTATCCTTAATCTAAGAGATTTCCACCTATGCACTGACTCATCACGATATCTCCGGAACCATAAGAGACTTCAAATTTGGTAGGAATATTCCATTTGCCGAGCAGAGGTCGAACGGATTTTTACACCAACAGGGGTGTTAATTAGGGGTGGATCACTATGAATATTTTTTAACAACAAAGAGGTTTTAAGTATATTAGATTCTATTATAATTTCTTTAGCTTACATTGTTCTAAAAGTCTATTGTATTCAATAATACAATTTCTACCACAATACAATTGTATGCACTATTTACAAATAACTTGCATGACTTTCTTGTATTTTCATATTAAACGTAAAAATTTCCAATAATTAATAAGTGAAAGTATTTTCCTTTGATGGGTCTCGTAAGAAGTGACTATTCGAAATTATGCCGTAGAAATCTCATCTCCTCTAACAGAAGATATAATCATCTAGTGTAAGTCATGTTTAGATTTCCAAGATCGATTATCAAAACTTCGATACCGTAGCTGACATGATGAAAAAGAACAACGTATAATAATAACGATGATTTTATTGAAAATATATTATGTACTATTGAAAAATAGATTTTGTTTGCAATTAGAAGCAATACTTCTTAACCGTGTAGTTGTGGTGAAAGAATATCCAACACCCCATATCATCCCGTGGGTGCCGTAAGAGATGAAAAAGAGAAACTGAAACAGGAGATGGGAAACAGCATCTTTCTGATAAGATCTTATATTATAAAAATTGGCATGTCAAGCGTGACAATTATGTGGGAGGCCTTTGTTCAGCAGTGAACTTTTACGAGTAATGGATGAATATCTCTTAGACCTTTAAACTGTAAAAAGTAAAAGTAGGGCGTGTTAACATTTAAGGACGAAGAATTAGAGGAAATCACCGAAGGAGTAAAGAACACAAACTCACTAAAAAGTGTAACTACTTCCAATGTGTATTCAACTGACTTCACAGATTACAGTTCAGACAAAAATAATTCTTCCGGCAAGGGAACGTACATTATAGATTGGGATGAAAGTGATGATAGCGAAAAATCATGCAGAATAAATCAAGAACAATGTGTGGTTCATTTAACAGATGAAGTAAGTAAACACGTGCCAGATACTAAAGAAATAAAAACTGTACAGTGTGTCACAGAACATCAAGTTTTTAATGCAGCATCTAAAATTTCCCAAAACAAAACCTTTGTAGCCCAAGAAACGTACACGCAAACAAGTAAAACAATTATAGAATTGGCTAAATCGGATGGGCTTGTTGTGAAATCGACCGACCTTAAAACTTTACAAACACAAACTTCTTACGTCTCTATAATAGAAAGTCAAAGAGTAGAATACAATTTTTATAATGAATTATGTAGATCCAACTCGATTCAAAAAAACTACAAAGACAATTGGTATGAAATTGATGAAAATGGGGTAAGAAGTCAAATTTTATGTAACAGCTTGGAAGACAGATCTTCTAAATTACCAGACAGCAGAATGGAATCAGAAGAAGAAGCGGAAGAGAAAATAGTTGAAAGTTACAGATGCAAAACTACTGCAGAAGAATCTCTGAATAAACTTTTAGATGAAAATCGATCAGAAGCGTCAAACGCAGGTGAAGAAATTTGTGACCTGTCACTATCTTCTAATTCAGATATAGAAGAAGACTCATTAATGGAATCTCATTGTAATAATATAATAGATAAAACAGATTTTAGTAATAAAACCAGCGATGTAAGTCACACACCAAAGTCCTTTGATAACGAGATTGAAGATATATATAATAAAGTATCTAATTGTATAGGAGTACTTCGAGTAAAGCAAAATATCGAACCTCGACTCGACTCTCAATGGGTTGGTGCTCTTACTCCGTTAACAGAAGAATCTACAATTAAGAAGGAGAGTTTTATTGATATGACTCCATGCCTTGGAATGTTAAATGAAACTCCTCATAGTAAGAAGGTTAATGAAAGTGTTTTATTCACGCATGACACAGGACTTAAAATTAAACTGTTGCCAGCCGAAAAACACAACGATACATCGAACGATCCTTTCAAATTACCACCAATTCAAAATAGTAAATCTTATCACAATAACGTGAATGTTTTATTATCAGCCGGTTGTGAAAATAAAGGAAATAATTCACATTTTAATAACAGTTCTGTAGATAGATGGGAATTCGGAGCCAAGAATTTAGCAGCCGGAGAAAGTCAATTTATAAACGGATCAAGTACGTATATACATTGTAATACTATAAGATTAAGGCTGGACGAAACAAACGCACCCTAGAAATGTAGTGAGCGTGCATTTCGTCACTACATAGTTGTAATATGTGACACTCTATTAAAATCTCTATACCGAACCTCTCGTTCTCCATGCCATTGAACGCAACCGGTATGAAGTCTTCAAAAGCAGTGATCTCGGGTAAGTGAAAGATATACTAGATGCTTGGACGTAGCTCTAAATACTGGCCTGGATACTGCTGTCTGCTATTCCGCCGTCCGTTGAAAGTCAATAGATTTTACTGGCCCATTAATAACATGAATTTTACTACGAGACTTACCGTGTGGTGGCGGTGTTAGTATATCGATTACCCCATATCATCCCGTGGGTGTCGCAAGAGGCTACAGAGAGAAGCAAATCAGGAAAGGGGCAGCAGCTTCCTCCTAATAACGACAAAAAATAAAAAATAAACTGGCAAATATCCTCCCTATGAGGCAGTCTTTGGTAGAGGCCTGAATTCTGCAGTGGACTTTATTAGGCTGTAACGGTACCACGTAACGAAATGAGCTGATTTAGGACCCTGACCTAGAATGGCTCTTACCTATAACTTCAAGTGGAATATTTTCCAGTAGAAATTTTGACACAATGCCCTTTGTCCGCGATGCTGACTGATGTATTCTCTCTTCTCTTTTTTTTATAATTGATTTTATATAAGAGGGGCAAACGAGCAAAAGGCTACCTGCTGGTAAGTGACTACCGCCTCCCATGAAGATCCGCAATACCAGAGGAATTAGGGACCTCCAAAAGACTGTTTTTGGAGGTCCCTAAGTTGTATCGGTCCGGAAGAACTGCCGGTGGTTGTAAACTCCACAATGTAGACGTATAGGCAAGAACAGTTCTAAGATTTAATGAAATGTGATTTGTTCTAAGTTCTTATTTTACTTTTACAGTTAATGTATGTTGTAATGTATGTATGGTTCCAATATAAATAATACTTAGTTACTTACATAGCCCAACGGACAATTAAGCTGAAGTGGCAATGGGCCGGCTATATAGCTCGAGGAACCGACAACCGATGGGGAAGATAGGTTCCCAAGTGGCAGTATCGTTCCGGTAAGTGAAGTGTATGCCCCCCACTAGATAGAGTGCATGCAGGAATTCGATGGATGCAGGTGGCTCAGGACCGTGCTTAGTGGCATTCTTTGGGGGAGGCCTATGTTCAGCGGTACATTTGGGAAGGGCTGTAATGATGATGATGACGACTTACTTAATAAAACTAACCCTGTCCTGCTTTGTAGAGTCGTCGCCATTGCCAAATGAAATGTTCCAACTGCCGCCGATTCACACAGAAGTTATTCAAAACATATACACCAACTACAGCGGTTATAACTCGTCTTCCAACACTTCGAAATTTAAGTTAACCACAGCGGATTCGCCGTGTGAATCGATCAGCATCCACGACAAGATTAGGGAGCTGAAGTTGACGGATAGAAGAACAAAGAATATAGTGTGAGTTATGAGTGACTTTTAAAATTCTTGTGTAGATAGCCTGGGCTAGTGGTCGTAATACCAGACTACGAAGTGCGGGGATCAGGTTCCACTGATATGCAATAACATGAAATATCGTTTTCGGAGTTTTTTTCTGTGGTTGTTCCTATAACAGGGCTTATAACCAAACTTATCCACTAAGCAATGTTAGGAATTAGGATCGTTGTGTTTTTTGATAGATATATTATACATGGTTATTTTGCAATAACCGGCCAAATTTGCAGAAAAGGTTCAGAATAAGTAATATTATAGGCAAATGGTGAAGAAAATTTAAAGGAGAAGGGTGACAAACGAGCACACAGTCCACCTGATGGTAAGTGGTTGCTGCGGCCCATAGACATCTACATCTATCCTCTATTACAAATCAAAATGCAGATGCGTTGTCACCCGTGAGGACTAAGATGGAATGGCTCATTTCCAGTAAAAAGGGCCTCCGGCCACCTGCACTCACCAAGCGAAACGCAGAGGTAAACCTCTACTTCACGCTGGTATTCTGTGAGGTTGTGGTACCACCCCGGTTCGAGCCGGCCCATCCGTGCGACAGCAAAAACCGCCACGTGGCTCTACCACTGTTAAATTTATATTAAAAAAATGTCAAACATTCTGTCCTTTTTAACTTTTAAATTCACAAATGGTAAAATCAAATATTTTGTACAACCGATTTCAATATAAATTATTATTAATTAATATTCCGAGTATCCACCTTAGTGTGGATTTTTAGGGTGAATAAACGGAATAGAATTATTTTTTAGTTGTTACTAGGAAGACGCTACTGCTCATCTCCTGGTTTGTTTCCCTCTACTGTCGCCTTTTACGACACTAACGGGACGATATGGAGTAGTGGTTATCGTACTTCACTTCTAAACGGTTACCAGTCGACCAAGCTTCTTAATAAATGTCGGTACTCAGCACGTCCGTCAGCGGCTTGCACGTATGACACCACGATTGCATTAATATCGTAATATAAAATAAAGTTTTTGTGTAGGAGAAAAGAAAGTAGAAGCATTTCCCCTACAAGTGTATCGTCTCCAGAAGGCAGCAAGCTGTGTGACGCAGCTCAGAAAGGATGTGAAGCAATTTGCACTGAACTACTGCGAAAATTAAAATCCACGTCATGGTAACTTGTTTGATTAAGCATTTTTTGTAATATTTTAACAATGATAAAGTTAAAATGATACTGTAGTGTGTCTAAAGTTTACAAAATGAGTGCGAAACGATATGTAAGGGAAAGGTAATGTACGAAACTAAATAAACCCAATGAAAATCGTTCTAACATTGATTTTATTGTAAAGGTGGTATACTTTACATAATTATTAAAAATGAGGTATAGGCAGAAGTACGGTAGTTATACATGTGGGGACAATTATGATGGTAACTTAGAAACTATATTATTTGTTAATTACAATGTGACCTAAATTAATGAGTAATGCATGTTTTATTAACTATTTTGCGGTGACCCGTACATATTATATACCTAAGAGTTCAATAATGCAGTTGGCATTTAATTTTCCATCAAAATTTTCATGAGAATTGTCAGACATTGTGATTATTTCAAGCCTCTATATTATAATAAGAAATGTAAGCTTAAAATGCCTTTGATTTACGAAGTTGGTTGAATTCCAACAGTAATACATTTTCCGCGCAATGGACTCGGGGGGATGGATAGAGGCCGTGAAGGAAAACGCGCCATGTGCTCCGGTGCGCATTTATCTGAGTAGGAAATAGAGCACTCGATTACATAGTATATTAAATGAATAACAACCAGAAGGCCAAAGTTTTCAACTAAGACAGGATGAGCTTAGAAACAATAATTTAAGTCGGCAAAAGATAAACATTGGTAAAGACAAACACAGTTATTAATAAAATTTAACAAAAGAACACTTAACAAAATAATTTAGACGCTAAAATATTTTTTGATTTGTGAGACACTAATATGAAACAAGTTCAAGTCAACGTATTTAGAAATTTAATTAAAAGTGATGCACGCACGTATCACCAAGAATTTTGGATGTACGTATTTAGTTCAAAGTTCAGTTTGCGGCACATAGAGTAAGATAGAGTAGCTTTCGTTAAACCTAACTTACTGATTAGCTCAACCAGATAGAGAAATACCGATTATTTATGTAACAGTAAAATCCCGCAAGAAGTAACTAAAGATTTTTACCAAGCTAAACGCTATGTTAACATATTATGGTGTAGGATACAATTTGTATGTAGTGTGTACTGTACAAATAACAAATGCACCGAGCAACTGTAAAACCAAACGACAGCAGAACAACAAAGTATACCGTCAGTGACATACAACGAAGATGGAACACCATGGGGTTTTAACCGGTGCGAATCCAACATAATCCGTGATTTCACCCGTGAGGTGTATAAGTTTAGCCATTAAAAAAGAGGTACAAAGCACACGTTACATCAAAAATTATTAACAAGTTAAAATTAAACGAGAAAAAATCAGTAAAATTAGTTTTACTATGTCCCAATTATTATTTACCCAGTGCTCGGTGGTGAATGAAAATGCCGTTATTAATAATAATGATGATAATAATAATGTCCTCTAGATCGAGTTTCGGTCACAACGGCAAGTCTCCACGGAGACGAGCCATTTGCGCAGGCTAGGATTATAGTGCCGGAGTGTTTGCGCAAACATAGGTGCACTCTCTATACCCTCACTCTCGGTAATCCTACATGATTGGAGAGAGATCACGCAAGACCAACGTAGTTACGTGCTTTCCGAGGCACGGGTCTGAAATGCCCCTAATTTCCTGACTCCGGACTGGTACTGAAAATTTCTTTTCAGAAAAACTCAAAAAACTGATTTTGGCCCGACCGACAGGGACCTTAAGATCATCAGTCGCGTTTAGGATCACTAGACCAAGGAGGGATTCACGTAGTTATACACCTGCAGGGAACAAAAAATATAAAATAGAAATAAAAAATATTTCGAAGATACGTAGAGAAGGACGCTCTCTGAAGTCTTGTGCCCAGCTGTGGGACGTGCATGCTGTAACTTTAACTTTTTTATTTTTATAAATTTTAGGTGAGCACTTCAAAAATATTCTTATTCTTCTAGGTGCGAAGTAGTAGATACTTTAGAGGAAATTCCAAAAGTGATGGATAAATTCTGGAATGTAATCACCGAGCTTCGAATAGCTGATCTTCTGAGACAAGTTTGTATACTTCGATGTTTGATTTGCAAGCTCTCCTAAACTAGTTACGTATAATACTAAAGTAGTTACGTATCTCAAATAATATCTTCATCACCAGCCTTGAAAGAATCCACTTTTGGACTTGACCTCTCTCCCAATCAACTGTATTAAAGTAGTACGACACGTGTTTCGCCTCTACACGAGGCATCCTCAGGTGATATAGACTCTACGGTGGCTAACCGCTAATTACACGTGTCGTATTATCGTCAGTGGTGTGTCTTGCCTAGTGTAGTGGTGTTGGGAGTAGCGGTGCTGGTATTAGTGGTGACGGGGATAGTGCACACAATTGAGGGAGGGCGGGAGGTGCTCTTCATACTAGGTAAGACACATCATTTTATTTTATAACGCGGATATTTGCGAAGTAAATTTTTCTAAAAGCTTTTATATAATGGATTTCCGCAAAGTAACGCCTGATTCTATTATTTAGTATATACTCATACATCCCACAGCTGGGTACAAACCGCCTTTTATTCCTGAGAGGGTTTATGGATCAATCAATCCATCACGCTGCTTCAGCGTGTGTCGGGACGTCCCGTTTCCACGAAATGTTTTATTCCCTAGACATTTGTGATGCAAGTTTACTTACAATGTTTCCATTCTTGAGGAGCATATTATGATAAATCAGCACTTAAAATTCCAACGCAATTTCCAATTTTGATTGGTGCTCAAATTGTTGGTGGTGGTGGTTGGTTGGTCCCGGATGGTTTGCATGTTGGGGAATAAATGGCGAGTAATTAGTTTCTGAGATACCACGGCATACCTATTCAACTATACACCATATATTCCATCTTTTCCCAAAAGATGCGACAAAGAGGCTTAATCAGCCAATTGTCAGTCCCATAGGCAGTTTTTAGTGGGTATCACTTAGGCTCCCAGTTAGGTTAGACACAGTGAGTCCCACGTAACCACGACAGACCGGCTGTCGTGGTATGCATGAAGCATTTACCGCCTCCTCACGTTATCGAGGTAGCCGTTTTCCAATTGCTTCTGGGCGCAAAAAAAACCATATATTAAACTATATCATTTATTTCACCCATATTTGGTAAGTTTGGTAAGTATATTGGCCGAGTAGCACAATTATTTGCATTGTTCCTGGTTGACGGTCTGTGGTTTTTAAATCTCCTCAGTCAGGCCTCAAGTTCTTAAGAGGAAATGCGGGCCGAGAGACTTGAAAATTAGGTATTTGAAGAATGAAGAAACTATCGCTGTCGCCCTGCGGGCGCTTGGCGTCCTATAAGGACAACTGCAAATCCGACGGAATAGCCTAAGTAAAAATGCATAATTCGAGGTTCGGCTCTCTACCATTTCCTCCTCCAATATTAGACCAATTTAAAAATATTTCATAAACTGAATAAGAAGGATATACACTGTGTCTCTATGTTTCCTTTTTCAGTATTAGTTATCAACCTAGTGCTAGTGCTTCTAAAGATAATGTATCATCAAAAAAGAAAACATAGGGACATAGAAGAGGTTGGTATTTATTTTACTGTAAAAACTTATTGCTATAAGGTCATAAACCAGAAATAAAACGGGCGAGAGTATTTGTACGGAGAAAAGACCACCCGCATTTACTTTTAAGTTTCCTCTATTCTACTCTTCTTCTTGCTTCGCTCATGCGCTAACTTCACACCGCACAATAATCAGCTACCTAAGTCCCTTGTATCGTAATGTACTATTTTCTAGCAATTTGAAGTCGTTTTTTACTTTTTGGTAAGTTATAATTATGTCGTTTTATTTGTAGGTCACTGTTCACGTGGACTCTCCACGCTCACAAGTAGCTCGCACTGCTTGCGTTACGCTCGCAACCATTTTGAAAAATACTAACTATACAAGAAAACCGGTAATTCCACAATTTAGCATGTTAATATGATTGCGACTGAACAACAATGCCTCGAAATTTCTAGTAGTTGTATAGCATGTAGTATTGCAGTTATTCCATTCATTTACGATTCAATTATACTACAGACGTAGTTTCAAGTGGAATGTCATTAGTTTAGAACAGATTATTTTTTTACTGTTTTAATTATAAATAACAATTATAAACGAACACACAGTCTACTAGCCGTGCTTATATCGGTAAGCTAAGTGTTGGACGGCCTCCACTAGATGGATTTACAACCTGTTAAGGGATGCAGGAAGTTGATGGATGCAGGTGGCTCAGGACCATACTTTGTAGAATTTTTGGAGAAGCTCTATGTTCAGTAGTGGACTTGTGATCGACTGTGATGATGATGGTGATGATGATCATCTCTTTATTCTGTTTTGCTACGCCAAGGGTCAAATTTTTTACCACTCCACGAAACGACTGGTAGAAAATTTCTAAAGGCAGTCCGCTTTTTGGTATTATTTTTGTAACTTAATAACGTAATAAAGCGTCATCAATGTGCAATGAAACCCACCTTCACCAGTGTGGTAACTATTGGTAAATATTTTGTGTTGTGCATGCATGTTGACACATTCTTGGAATGGCTCATATCCAACAGGGCTTTAAAATTACGAAAAACTGTATAACGAGGTCCGTTGGCTAGTACCTAGCTAGTGGCTAGCGCGACTGCTGAACATGTTGTCTCGAACTGTCTTTGAACTCCGGGTCGGGTCGAAATCTGTTAAGGGTTTTTTGTCAAGAAAATGTCAGTAGCAGTGCCTCGGAGCACGTCAAGCCGTTAGTTCAGTGACTACTTAATCTTTTTCCGTCTATCGAATTGCAGTCCCTTCGGTGGACGAGAGTGAGGAAATAGACAGAGCACCTGTGCTTGCGCATACACTCGGGCACTATAAACCTGTTCTGCGTCGATGGCTAGTCGTTAAGACTGGTCGACATTAAAAGAGGTAGAAGAACATTGTGATTTGTCATTATAGGACTTCTACGAGGCGGTGACAGCCCTGCTGGTAAAGACTAGCAGTTTTAGCCGGCCGGTTCGACGTGCGGCCAACATGGCCCTCGACGATATAGTCTGCAGCGTTGATTTCACGCAAGCCGTCACTGCCCTATGTGTGCACGGTGTTGGGTAAAGTACAAATTATCCTATAACTTATTGCTTTTTTAATTGATTCGTGTGTTTTTATTAAATTAGAGTCGCAAATACACTAACAGTCTAACTAATGGTAAGTCACTACTGAGCCTGAGACACTTGCAATGAACTTCAAACAAAGAAGGCCAACATGGCCATAGATACATACGTGTTAGAGCCACAGTGCCACAACTATTATAATTGGGCATTAGCATATCATTGATATGCAGCAGGAAGAAAGTTGCGGAGAGAACGGACTCCTTAGGAACTACGCCATTTGTCTGAACCATTCACTCAGAAAGACCTTCACCCAGTCCATCTGTCAATAAGTCGTACGCTGGAAGCTTGCCCAAAAAGGGGATCGTACCACACCCTGTCAAAAGCTTTCCAGACATCAACGGATACAGCAAGTGCTTCCCCACTGTTGTCGAGGACATCGCCCCATATCTGAGTGACATACGCTAGAAGGTCCCCACTTGATCGATTTCGGCTAAACCGGTACTGCTGGTCACTGAGAAGATCATCCTGCTCTAGGTATGCCTTGAGGTGGGCGTTCAATATACGCTCCATAATCTTGCAGAGTATGGAGGTAATTAAAATTGGACAACAGTTGGCAGGCTAGGCACGGCTACCGTTCTTAGGCAACGTCTGCACATTGACTAGCTTCCAAGATTTGGGCACTATTCCAATCCTGAATGCGAGCTGAAACAAGCACGTCATAACAGGAGAAAACTCAGGTGCACAGACCTTTAAAACTCTAGCTGGTATATCATTAGGCCTACTAGCTTTGTTCACGTTTAGACTTTGCAAGGTTTTAAGAACCTAATTCTTGGTGATACGGACCTCTGAAATTGAGTCCTACCGCAATGAGGTCATTGAAGTGTTACTGTATGGACACGAATTGCAAGCAAAAAGAGTAGCAAATAAATGAGCCGTCTGATTTTACCAGCGGAGACAGTGTAGACTGGCCAAAATTTGTCTCAACCGCTTTGGCGAGAGACTAAAAAATTCTAGTGCCAGATATTTTGACAAAAAGCTTTGCGCCGATGTATTTAATGCGGTCGATACTGACTTGCCGTAATGATGCTTCCTTACAAGACTTGGCGGCTTGGTTATAGTATCTCTGCTAATGGCTAAAATCCGGAGCTTTGCGGTCTCGAGCGTCGATTCAGGATAAAAACGCCATATGCTTGTGCTTTTCATTACGGGCGCATTTGGCGTTGAACCATAGACAAGCTTTACCACCAATGAGCACGTCAACAAAGACAATGAAATACTCCACTGCTTGACGTATCACATCAGATTTTTGGGTTTTGATTCTCTAAAAAAATATGTGGTTTTTGATCCTAAACGCATATACTTAGTTTTTAGTGGGTTCAGAACGAAACGAAGAAATTCGATTCAGGTCCTCATTGATGTTACTAATTGTAGAATGAAATTCACGCAAATTCCAGTAAAGATACACCTGTAGATCATCAGCATATAGGTGGTATTCGCAAAATGCATGCAATTAGTTATATCAGCAGTATAAATTATAAATAATAACGGTCCTAACATAGAACCCTGTGGAACGCCTCTATTAAATGGTCGTTGTTCAGAAACAAGGAAATAGCCATTTGGTTGATTTAATATTACTTGTTGTGATCAGCGTCATAGGCAATTTATAGAAGACTCTACAAAATCATAAATGATATTTAAATAAAACTAATTTTACGGATTTTATCGCGTATATTAACTTATATTATATTCCCGACGTTTCGAGCACTTCAGAGCACCCATGGTCACTAGGGGACTGAGGTGTATGACGTCCTAATGTCATAGTTAACCACGGCTACCTCAATATTAAAAATTATTAATTTGTGTTCCGATCTACGCAGTATGAACTTACAATATATTGAAGTCTTGCAGTTGTATGCTTGGGTTGGGATTTAATATTATTAATTATGGGATCCCAAGCAGATGGTAGCAGCACCCAGCCATCTTCTCTATTGAAATTAGGATATTTTTTGATTTCAATAGCCTCGCGAATCATCCTTAGAAGGAATCAATGTTCTTTAGCGAGGATTTGTGGTCTATCAAATCTATTGTAGTGACGAGGGCGATCCTGTACGTCTTCACTGACTGCAGACTTCCTGGAGCGTCGATTCTTCACATCAGCTATGTGTTTTTTAACGCGGGTTTTTATGGATCTTTTAGTTTGTCCTATATAAGAGAGCCCACATTCACAATTAAGCTTGTACACTCCTGCATCTTACAGAGGGACATTACACTTGACTGATGGTAAAAACTGAGTAATCTTCTTCGGCGGCTTGAAGTATGTTTTAATGGGAGCACGCTTCAAGATGTAACCAATCTTGTCAGTGACACCTCTAACATATGGCAGTACAGCAGGCACTCGCTCGACTGTGGCCGGCCTCACTCGTTCACTGTGACGTAGGCGCGGGACTCGAAGCTTATTGTCGTGAAAAACTTGCTTGACGTGTTGGAGCTTGGCGGCCAGGTGTTTACTGTCACAGATCCCTCGTGCTCTCTGAAACAAAGATTTACCCACGGTAGCTAACTGTGAAGGATGGTGATGAGAATTACCGTTTAAATATCTATTAGTATGGGTCTGTTTTCTATACACAGTGTGGCTCAAGGTGTTATCAGGATTCCGAATTACTAACACATCTAGAAAAGCTAAAGAATTATTTGCCTCTAACTCCATAGTGAACTGAATTTTAGAATTTAAGGAGTTAAGATGGTCTAAAAATGCAGTTACTTTATCTAAAGGTAGAATTGTGAAAGTGTCGTCTACGTACCGCTTGTAGAATCTTGGGTTTACGGGAGAAATAAGCAGGGCTTTCTCCTCAAAGTCTTCCATGAATATATCGGCGACAATGGGAGATACAGATGAGCCCATCGCCACTCCATCTACTTGCTTATAGAACTCTTCCTTCCACAATAGGTAACCAGATGTAAGGCAGTGTCTGAGTAATACTGCATATTCTACGGGCATGTTGTTTTCCTCTAGTCTTCTAGTAACAATCGAGATTCAGTCTTCTACAGGTAAGCTTGTGAACAGAGACTGCACATCAAAACTGACCAGTTTCATTGTCAGCGAGATGTAGGTCTTTAATCTCGCTGACGTCGGGAATATAAAATAAGTAAATATACGCGGTAAAATCCGTAAAATTAGTTTTATTTAAATGTATAGTGTTCGCGTAAATATAAGAAATCGTCATACCATCAATGATAGCTTAGACAGCAGCAAATCTATGTTAATATAATCATACGCTTTCGAACCACAGTCTTGAGATGTAAGAATGTTATCAACCACGTCGAGTAAAGCAGTAGACGTGCTTCTACCTTTTCTAAAACTCAATTGTAAGTTAGGTAAAATGTTCAAAATCTAATATTTAGCTAGTTTCTGTAATTTAAAAAAAATAAAGGGCAGTAAACTTACTGGTGTTAAGTCTTTGATATCCTGAAGATCATTTTTTTTAGGTAAAGGATGTACGAGAGATATTTTTCACGACGAAGAAAAAGTAGAAGTTACGATTGAGTTATTTATATTGCTGTTATCACTTTTAACGTAGCCGAAAGAGTTAAGATAATCATATCCCTACTCAGTTTATCAATACATTTGTTTGTAAGTGTTTGATTTTATTGACAAAATAATCTTTGCTTCATATTCTTCACTTACATTGTAAAGTTTAAATTCATTACACCCATGTCGTTGAAACACGTATTGAGATAAATCAGAAATGATTATATTATCATTCCCTGGAACATTAAGAGAGTGGTTATAGGTTATATCTGTATCGTCGAAAAACACTGGAAGCGCCTTCGATGGCTTAATTTTGGTAAGGACGGACGTTTTAAGTTCTTCCACAATAATTTGGGATGATTTAAGTTATTATTAATTTGATTGTCAAAATATGCATTTTTCTCCGAGTATTATGCTAATGATTGGCAAATGTTTCAAAGATTTGTATTGAATTAGTTTTCTGAAATTTTGCATGACTTTTATTCCGAAGTTTCATAATGTATGGAATATTGCTAGTTAACCACGGTGAATTTCCGTCATGTGCAGCTATGGACTATTCAGGTGCATAGTTAATAAATATATTTAGTAGCAAATAAGTAAAAGTTGATACCCTTTCATTAACGCAATCCATTTTAATTACACTGACCCAATCTACTGAGACAATCATATCATCTAAGTGAATTAAATTTTTTTTTATATGTCTATAAATAATAAATTTTAAATGAGGTTTGGGTTTCACTGTTTTAATAGTAGCCAGAGTTGCATAGCATGTGCTCCAAGATCATTCACATATTAGTTAACTTGTTGTTACGGCCCGCAGCTGCCCCTGCAAAGGAGCAATATCTCGGGGCCCAAGAGCGGAAGATTCAACGGGCAGCCGCGGGTTCGAGCCCGAATGGCTATATGGAAAATGTTCTATCCTACTACACCTTAATGGGGAGGCTAATCAAATAAAGAGTACTTACCTGTATCTGAGGCGACGACTGTCTCAAGGTTCGGTCAGGACGAAGGTGTGTGTGTGCGTGTGTGGTGGAGTTTTTTGTGGTGTGGATGTGATTGACCTGACTGGCTCCTGACTCCTGACACCGCTCCAAATTATGGTAATCTCCAGCGGCGTCACACACGGTCAATTTCTTTCTTCTTCACTATGTCAGTGTATTAACTTTATCGTACAATTAACTAACTTCAAAACGCAACGAACTCCCGTTTATTATAAAGCGTAACACACAACACGAATACCGAATGTTCGGATCAAAGGTCACTTCCGTTTCGCGTGGCAACAATTATTTCTAGGACCTAACACGACCTTCTCTAGTGTCACAAAGTTCAGCGTTCAACCGACAACGGAAAATGGTTCCGAACTATATCCAATGCCGCACGAGCAAATTAATATTGTCAAATGCACTTATATACGCTATCAAATTAGAGTAACAAAATTCGCGGTAAATTAGACACGCACAGCACACAA